ACAGCTAGTGACTGATTGGACCTTTTATTGGTGACCATGTTTCATATAAAACAGAGAAAATGGTAATTTCGACAATCCCTATGATTTCTTGCCCTGGCCGCCTGGCCTCTGGTTAGAGCACCACAGTATGCTCATACTATTGTTTTGGGTTGGGAAGAACTGCAAGATTCGGAGTCGACGCTGAATATCCAATTCTCGTCTATTCAAAGGAAGCGTCAGGGACAGTAGGCAGGCCCTGATACCAACGCTACACTGTGGTATAGCGAATGTCCCTGGATGCAGCGCAGGTGTTAGCTCCCTTGACTCCAAAAAAGTGGCGCCGCACGAATTTGTTAGCTACGTAAAATGGGCCAGAAGACCCATGAAAAGGTCGCAGGTAGCTACTGCACATCCGTGCGCTGAAATCCTAAAAACAGTTCCCGCGATTAAGTGACTGAGACGCCTCCACACATTTGGCGTTCGGGTCCGCGTTTGCAGAGAATGTACCAAATTGGTCACTCGGAAAGGCGAGATAAAGATGCCACAGATGCGTGACCAATGCAACCTCTATTATTTTCGCTCTGCAAGACAACGGCTTACACGCGGAATTACGTGTGTGCATTGTGTTGCCTGGAGCGTCGTAGGGCGATTTCCGATGCTCGTCAATGAGAAGCCTCGCTTGTCGACTTTTCTGCGAGCTGATCTGACTTCCTTATCTCGATGGGAGAACATGGTTGTTCACACAACGTCAAACAAGCTGTACTGCATCTCTGCAACTTACAGTCTTGCGTCTGCGCCCTCCACGGTTCGGTTGTTCTCTACATTTGAGGCGTGGTAAGCAGCCTGCCGCTCTTGTTGCCCTCTGCATCGACGCACATGGCAACACGTTGGAGGCAGTCGGTGGAGTTCCAAACGTCTTGTGCCTATCATTACTTACCGTGCGCTTCAGGCCCGTTCACCACGCTCTCAGGTGGGATCCACTTAGCAGGTGACCTTACATTTTCTTTACAGGCACATGGCACGATAATTTGGTACTCGGTCCAAAATGCTAGCAGGATTCTATATAGTGGGAAAATGGCGAAGAAAAACGAAGTGAAACGGTCAGGAAACTGCGAAGAAATGCCTTCCTTGATGGCTCAAAAAGCAATTTTGGAAGTTTCCTGCTGGCATCGTGCCAATAACTGCTATGGCAGATAAGGATGCATGTATGCAAACATATATCCATGCAGCACCGTGACCGCTTTATATCAATCCCTTCCGGAATGGGTGCGGAATTCCGTCCTGCCAGGCGTATTAACCCTACTAGTCTTAGGGATTTATTATGCCAACGCTTTTAAAATTTGGTGAAGGATTCCTTCTGTAATCCTGATGTTTTGAAACACACCAGACTCTGTTTTGATTACCTCTGGTATTCTGCTGAAACAACCTACCGCCTGTCGCCAAACGGTGAACTAGTTCCTTGGTTAGTTCCATCCTTCGATGGCGCAGGCATTGCCAAATCCTAACTAAAGGGCTTCAATCGACATCTCTAAAAAATGAAGCATTAGACTTGGCAATGTCCAGCAAACACACAATTACCCGCGATACCTGTCTCAGAAACGGGCCAGACTCCAGGAGGACTGAGTCTTTCTTAGCAGCAAATTCACACCGAGACCGCGTGTTCTAACACGGCTCACCCAACGAGGAAAGTTACCGGATTTCGCGCCAGTCGTGTCTTTGGATCCTTGAGGGGCTCCTTCTTTATCGTCCGCAGACATTCTTCAAAAGAATCCTTGATCAACCGGTTCTAGACCCGTCGCAGTATGAAATAAAGTACACCGTTTACTGAGTGTGTTGTTATCATTGAAGTTTTTTTGGACAGGTTCCAAAATAATGTCATAGGGAATGGGCACAGCAGACCAGTCGCAGGGAATTGATGAAAATGGCGATGTCTACTTCTGCTTGATTACCTGGTGAACGTGGCTAGTAAAGGTGAGATATATGGCGCACCAAGAGGTAAGTGTCAAACTCTCAAAACCCGTGATAATGAGAAAACCGCAAGGGCTTCGAAGTGAAGGGGAGGGGTGACTCACGCCGACTCTCTGTGGCTAAAACCATGCCCGTCCCACTTCCTGGCTTACTGTGATCCATTCTGATCAACATTTTAATCTGTTCGGCTTCGTAGGAGCGCCAAAGATATGCTTGTACGGGCCACTTTGTAAAGGACGTGTAGAATTCTGTATCCAAAGTTTCTCACTCGACCCATTTCGCAGCCTCACTGGAGTTCACAAGGATCTCATCAAAATGAAACCTTTTATTAACAGTAATTAGCAGATGAACTTACGCAAATGCGAAATAACTATCCAAAGCTGAAGAGCTCCTCATTGCTTAGTTGGCAAATGTTTCCACCGTGTTGGTAAACAAAGCCAATTTGTTCCGAGCGGCCTGACAAGGCTGAGACAGGATGACAAAGCTTTGGATTCCCTATAGGAGTTTCATGAACTGCTGCCACTTGGCAGATATTCAAGAGCAAGATCTTGCACTTTTCAAAGGCACATGTCATGCAGGATCTAAGAGAAGAGACAAACCAACTATTATGAAGTCGTGATTGGGACCACTTCTTTATAAGACGGTAAAAACGAGGGAAAGAAGTCGCAATAAGGCCGTGTTCATACTTTGCGGCAGTGTACACCAGCGAACCAATAGCGTCCACCAACGTTCCGAGTATCCGGCAGCGTCAGCGACTGGGAAAGTATAGATATCGATCTAGCATCTGCTAGCCAGCGTCCTCCAACGTCTACCAGCGTGCGCCAGCCTCCACCAGCGTCCAGGAGAGGAGAGTATGGCGATAGGAGGGTAGCAGACAGCTGATACCCTCCTATCGCACCATACTCTTTACCAGCAGCCTGCTGCTGGTCGCTGGTGGGCGCTTGTAGACGTTGGCAGAAGCTGGCAGGAGCTAGGTAAGGTACTTATACTTCTCCAGCACTTGAGCGTGGACGCTAGTAGATGACGCTAGACGTTAGATCGATATCTAGCTTCCCTAGCCCTCCAGACGATGGTGGACGCTGGCAGACGCTGACAGGAGCTAGATCGATGCTTATACTTCCCTAGCTCTTGAGACGGACTGTGGACGCTGGCAGACGCTGGTGGACGCTACTGGTCGCTGGTGGACGCTGCCGCAAAGTATGAACGCAGCCTAAGAGATCGCCTCTCAGTGGTTGGAGGGTGTCCATGGACCACGAACAAGCATCACGTCCTGTGTCTGTGGAGTGCGCCATGCACTCATCTTCTCTGTGGACTGCGTGATGAACCCACATTCCACTCGCAATACCATTGTCTTCTTTAGAAACATGGATTATGAAATTGGACCAAAAAAGCCGAGCAACTCTCTGCGCTAGCTGATGGGTTGTTCTTCGTATTAAGACAAACGCAACTTCTAGCTTTGTTGGAGGTTCTTTTGATTTAAATGAAGTGCGCAGCCACGCCCTCCCAATTTCCGTGGCATAGGTTGTATGGAGGACGGTGCTGTCTGGAACATGTGAGTGACAGTACCGCCTGGTAATGCTCGCTAGTTGACTCTTCGCGAAATTTTGACGTCAAATCAGCTGGGTTATGGTAGCTCACGTCCTACATCGTTTATTTTACGGTTCTTCACCCGATCTTCGAAATTCCATAAATGATTAGCAAGTTAGTTGACTTGACTTCAAAGCGCAAGTCAACTAGCTGGGAGTACTGCTCAAATCTCGTAAACTACAAACTGTATAGGTAAGGAAGATTACCTTCAATGGTGGGGTCCATTGACCATGTGAGCGTGATCCTCTTATGCTTTCCTCATCGGCACGTCACTGCTCTTACCGTTTCTAGAGAAAAAGGGTGCTTTAATGAGGAAGGCACTACAGTAAGCCTCCCTCCACCCCATGGCCATCGTGGACTGTGCCAAGGCCGAGTTAGCTCTACAGAGTAGCGAATGCGCCAGACCTTGATAGAAACCCTTTTCAGATCAACACTACACGAGAGAATTGAGCATTTACTATCCAAATAAAAATAATCTGCATAATAAAAAATCAGCAGTTTTTTCCATAACATCACGTGCACATAGAATTATAAAACACCTGGTAGTGTACAAGTACCACTATTAAGACGAAGAAAAATGAAGAGGAGACGGTAAGGAAAATACGAAATAATGTCCCGAAAATCACTCAAAAGCAGTTGATGATTACTGTATCGATCAGTGGTGATCGATAAACAGCACTATGAAACCCATTTAACAGCACGTAAGCATGAACGATTTTTATGATGCGGTTATGATAGAACAGCGAATGATTATGTCGTGTGGAGGCTTATTAAACGATGAGAGGACGATAAGAATGGTTATAAGGCGGATAGTAAATTTTAAAAACAACAAGTAATCGATAAATTCATCGCTACACCCGTTCGCTCGCCGAAGCACCGACAACGATTCTCCACGTTTGGGAGAATTGTGAAGGTGTCGTAAAAATACACTCATAGCAAAAAAAAACAAACAAACGCCGTCGCTGCTATCATATCAATTTGGTAAGAGACGCAGAGGATTTGCGCGCCCTCGATGCCTGGTTTCTCACCGATGCGCGTAAAATCGATGAGAGAGCACGGAAAGATACGTAAGCATCACAATAACATTTGCAGAGGCAATAGACTCATGTAAATTGTATCGTGACTATAGATGGTGCTAAAGGTTCGTACCGAATACCGTCTGCAGCCACGAAACAAGCTCTTTTTCTTACAGTAATCAAAATAGAGATGAGCACAGTAATAGAATTAGACTGTATATTGGCCTGAAAAAATGTGAATGCATAGAAGAAGAAAGGATACATAGAAAGCTATAAATATAGCCTTCCCTCTGAGAAAATATAGCGCAATAGGTCAAAGAAGTAAAGCGATATCCAATAAAAAATGTTAGATGACCCATGCGCATTTTTATACACAAATTCCGAATAGCTTACGAAAACTCAGCAGCTAAGCGAAATTAAAGGCTTCCAAGGGTCTTAAAATATCAGCCTTCAGTGATTCATCGCTTCTCGATAGCTCATTTTATCGAGCTCATCGGCTATATCCGATTTGGAATGCACACCGGAGGTGGAGTCAGACGGAGCTCCGCCCAGCTCACAACCGCCACCAGGTAGACGAGATCGTAGGAGATGACAGTAAGTGTCGTAGCGTTGAATCTGAAATCGTTCAAAATTTTCATCGTGAAGATTGGTCCCACAGCGGACTGTTTGAGGTAGCTGAAGGAGCGGTACCGGCCTATCGTATGGACGGAGTCAGGTGCTTCCTCGTTAACACCTCCTCTATCCACTTAATCAGAAAAGTATGTTAGGAAGTTGGAAATTAGATGGTATTGTTTCAGTAAGGATGGCACAATTGTGTACCTGACCCAGCCCAATGGATAAGCTTGGACAGTGCTTTGAGAGATTTTATCCGCAAAAAGACTTCATGTATATGGCCATGTTGGAAGCAGGCAGACCGTCTACAACTGGTGGAGAATAGGCTTACAAAGCGCCAGCCCCCGAACCCCTCCCCCCCTCTTCCATCGGATGAGGGTACCAGCTCTATCCAGCATATTTTTGCAACTTTGGGACAGTTTTACACTACACGTTTTCGCCGACGGTTTTTCGATGGCACATCCTTCCCTCCCCGACAGTAGCCCCTGTCTTTAAGTGCTGTACCGGCCCTCTACATCTATACTTCAAAAAGACAATATTGGCCCACTCAACAACGGAACAAAGGTTTTATAATGAGTAGCGCAGTAAAGGGTTTGCACAGCGAAAAATATTTAGTCGGGATTGTTTTTGCTAGTGTCTCTCACAGAACTAATTATATGTTCCTTTCTCAGGGTTTAACTCAGAAATAACCGAGAAAACCAGAAGACCAGGGTGGACGGGGTCTGTCGCAACCTCGCTCTCTCTCTCCCCCCCCCCCCCCCGCATTGACTGAGTTGACCCTTCACACTGCTGATTGTTGCTAGGCAAAGAAAACGGCATCAAAAAAATCCCCACGGAAGCAGTCCATAGGCCAGGCTGATAGGTGATTGATAGGTGGCGTGATATGATACTGATAGATACTGATAGGTGACAATGATTTGATAGGTACCTCCTGAGTAAGATATCGCTCTTTGAAGAAAAATTCCTCAACCGGCCGTCCTTTTGACTTCAGCGGTGGTGCTTCTTGCCGAACACGTGCCAGCTGCTCTCGAAGTTCACAAGCAGCCGATTCATGTGCCTTAACAAACTCCTCTATCGTACCGATGCCCAGTAAAGAGCCATCAGGGTGCAAGGGTTACCTTGAGCTGCTGCGCCAATGGAGCCGAGCTGGGTAGCTTTGGCAGACGAATCCTCGAAAATGCACCATTGGAACAAGCCGGAGGTGGCAATGCCCTCGATGAAAATCGGGCGCAGACAAAATTGATCTGGTTAACCCAGTCATCAACTTCCGCAGCGCTACTGCAAACAAAATTTCTTACGCAATTCCAGAGATACCACGATTTCGTTAACTCACGTGGTTTGAAACAGGAATTCGCCAAGGTCGGCAGTTCTCAGCCGAAATATGTACTGCTTCTTCTTGTAGTCTGGAGCAGGCTCGGCGAAGGCGTGATGGAGCAATATCGCATTGTTAAACATCTCGTATCTCAAAATATTCATTCATTTATTTATTTTATGTATTCACCATCTGAGCACACAGTCTTGTTCGCTGTGGAGGTTAGGATTCGTCAGGGGCGGTCCAGCTCAGCGCACGTTCTCCATCAACTGTCAGGGACAGTAAGCGGCAACTCTGTTGGAAAACGGGTGGCGCCGCGCTGAACTTGACCCCCTAAAGCCCGGGCATCTGTAGCGAACAGGACTGTAGGTGTGCACATCCATGATGGGAAGTACCTGCTTCGCTTCTTATCACTGTCATCCCTGCCAAGATAAAGCGCTAGACCGCGAAGGCGCGCGTACCATTCACGCCAACCACGACGGCCGAATGGAGCTAAACTCAGTAAAATCAAGGCAATCAGTGAAAGGGTAGTTGAAAGTAATGTAAAAATAGGCAGCAAAAATACATATTGCCATCCATCACAATTAGGACGGAGAAGTTGGGGTACAAAAGTAGCACACTGAGAGACTCACTTTTTGCACCATCTGCGTCGTACACACATTTTCGCATGATATAGCCGCATTTATACTCCACCTGTGATTCTGGATCCACTTCGAGAAGCAGCTGGAACCCAGTATTAAAGATTATCGATTGAAATTATTAATCAACTCATCCCTTGATCGAAGAAAAAATCCAACCTGGCGAGAAACGCACGACCGCTTCGAACTGCTCCTTTTCGCCGGTTTCTCGAATTTGCTGAAAAAACAATCATTTGACCTGGCGTTAAAATCCTTCATAGTTTCATATTCAGTTTTCAGGTTTCTGGAGCAGCGCAATCTGCGTTCACGTCTAACCTGCTGCTGAGGCACGCTACTTCCTAATGAAGCAAATCTGGGAGTTCTATAACAATGCACTTCGTCCACATACCTTGCGAGGGGGTTGTATTTCGCAGAGGTTACCATAACAGGCATTCTTGCTTTATTATGAATTTTGAGGATACGTGATAGTTGAACTGTCTGTGACCCCGCAAAGGGAGTAGCTGACCATACAAGTAGGCCTGAGCCTAAGCTGTCAAAGGCACAGATTCTAAGCTGGATCGCATGGGTGAATGAGGCCTACCATTGCGCCTCCTTCATAGGTGCGCTCTTCTGTTGAAGGGAGAAGAGGTACACCAATAAGATGAGGAGGGGACACGATAGTAGGCCCGACTCCACTCACATAATTACCGCGGAGTGCGCATTCAAAATGCTCGAAATTCTCAACGACTCGAACAACGAGGGTGTTACTATGATCAACCTAGGGCACGTCTTGGTGTTTGGACGGGAGGGGGGAGGGGGAATTTCGCAAAATATTACGGCTATGATAATATAAATAATGCACAAGATAGCACGACTCTTTTCCA